AGGGGTGGTTTGGCTGGCTGGTGTGTTGTGGGGATCGAACTACAGCAACCTGAGGCTGACAGCTTTGTGGAAGCAGCCACTTAAACAACTGAGCTAAGGCCAAGCCCCCCAGAACTTTAGATTCTTGGGTAGCAAAAGGAAGAAAGAGGAAAATGAAGTCCCTCTCCAGTGTTCAGGCCTCCCCTGTGAGTTGGGAATGGCATGACCCATGTGCTCCTGTTACCTGGTGACATGAGCCACAGACTCCTTGGGCATTGTGCTCGCTCAAGAGGCACACACACACACCCTTTCCTAATAAAAGACATTGATCCAGACCCCTCTCTAGATGGCCAGCAAAGGTCACTTGGCTTGCATGGTGCCACACAGAGCCTGGTTCTGGGCTTTTGGAGCCTAAAACTGCTTGGGCTCCTCTACCCAGATGTAACAATCTGTCTACTCACACCTGAAGCCTCTGGAGCCTCCCAGGCAGGGATGTGGTGAGCTGCTGAGTATTGGGACCCTTTAGGAAGGAGAAGGGTGAGTTTAACATTGATTTTCCTTGTTCCCACTGGCCCATCTGAGCCATCCTTATTTGTCACCCACTGAGGGAAAGAACTTCTATTTGCTCCTCAGGAAGTTGTCTAAGATCCTTAGGAGACAAGGCCAGCCTTTCCTGCACCCCAGAACCCAGGGTGTCTTTAGGACCCTGTCCTCTCCCAGCCAGGTTCCAGTCTGAACCCTGCTCCCATAGCATGCAGGGAGGGGGTAGCTCGGGTGATGCAGTTGCCATAGCCCCTCAGCAGAAATCACTAGTCCAGAGACAGGGTGCAAATGAGCATCTGCATTTATTTGCTGCTTACGGACCTTGGGTTCTGGCTAGTGGGCCCACTCCAGGCTGGTCCACTCTGGGCTCACATGCAGAAGAAGATGGCTGGAGCGTAGAGGATGATGGTACCATTAGATCCTGGCAGTTAGGACAGCTGGACAACTGGATGCTTGGAGAAGCCCAGAGCCCAGAGGCCAAGTCCCCAGGGGCTACCCCAAGAGGGGTCCTCACCATCTGTTCATGCCACCTTCCAACACAGTTTCTGGGAACCCATGGCAGGCACCACCCCAGCTGCTGAGTTATGACCCATCCTGGGTGTCCAGGTGGGGCCCTGTTGCTGAGTAGAGATCCATCTCCTAGACACACTGCTCCTGACAGTGCTGCTGTCTTCGGTAGGCCCTTGCAGGTTCCCACCACCACCTCTAACCTGCTGAGCTACAACTGAGGCTATGGCCCTGTGGCAGCTGGTAAGGCTGGTCCTGGTTTCCATGCTTCTTCTCTGAGCTGGCACAGTTCCTCTTAGGGTTTTGGAAGGTGCGCCTTCAGATGAAGAGCTTTCAGTCCCTCTCTTCCTTTCTCCATTTCCAGACACTGATGGACATATTGGGCTACCCCAAAGTCACCGTGTCCCTGGCTGCCAAATGGGTCACAACAGTAGATGTTCCAGAGGGTTTTCATATGTTACATTGAGCAGCACTGAGCTCAGGGAGGGCTGAAAATGGGAGAAAAAGATTGGAGATGGAGACAGAGATGAGAAGAATGAGATCCAGGAGTATCCTCTGCCATGTTGGCCTGAGCCCTCAGTCTCCCTGCTGTTTGCTTCTAATGTCCCAGTTCACCTTGGTCACCCTCCCATGCCTGGGGTTACCACAGGTAGGTAGGCAGGCAGCTGCTTTCCAGGCTACAGGGTGGGCACAAATCGGATCCTCTGTGAGTAGGCCAAGTCCACGATGTAGAGGAGCAGGTTGACATACGTGAAAATGGCTATCACCAGTTGGCTGTCCCAGGAGCAGCTGCCCCGTGGGCAGTTGGGGGGCCGCCTGGGCTCCCCATATTTGGGATCAAAGCAGAAGACAGGCCAGATCACAGCAGCACTGAGGTAGAGGAGCACAGCCAGAAAGGTGTATACAACTACCAGGCGGTCAAAGGGGCAGCCCAGGCCCCCTGTGTGGCCCATCACACTCAGGGCCACCACAGCCACTGTGGCCAAGAAGCACAAACTGTAGACAGCCACACACCACTGCATGGCCACGTAGCGCCCATAGCGGCTGTCGTGGACAAGTGCTCCAAAGATGATGCAGGCCACAAAGGCCTGGACAATCTTGAGAAGCCCTGACACTGTGGCCATGTAGCTAGCTACCTGGCCGGGCCGTGCCCTCGTCAGGGCCACTTCTGTGGCATAGGCTAGGAAGAGAAGCCCAGCGAAGACACTGGCTGCCAGGCGGAAGTCCCTGGCTGTGCAGCCAGCGGGCTCAGGCAGGCACTGGAGCTGGGTGAAGTAGAGTGGGTAGATTACGGCGGCTGTGGCACATAGCAGTGTGGCCAGCATGGCAAAGGCCGCAGTGAAGTTGCCCCAGGATAGGCGCAGGCAGCCATGGAGCTTCGTGAACTCACAGGCCACCACCAGGACAGAGAGGGCGAAGCAGAAGCCCCAGGCAGCCATGCAGAAGGTACCTTGGACACCGGCGAACCCGCCCCGATGGGCAACAAGGCTGAAGGTGGTGCAACCGAAGACCAGCTGCAGCATGCGGGCTGTGCCCACTGGGGACGTCACAGCGCCCAGGTGCAGGTATGCACCCCCGGGGGGTTCCATCGTGCTGCCCATCTGGCTGGCTGTCTCCTGCCTTCACACAGTGCCCAGCAGTCCTGGGTCTCAGCTTGGCTGAAGGCCTTCTGTTCTCTGCAGTAGTCGCAGGTACCAGCAGCCTGCAGCAGCAGAGCTGATGGTGACATTGCAGCAAGGCAGTCTCTCTGCTGCCTGTGTAGGGAACCCCCTCCCCCAGCACTATAAATAGCCATGATCAGAGCCTGGGAATAGCAGCCTACGTGCCTGTCCCCATCTTGGAGGGACATCTAACCCCTGTGTCCCAAGAAGAACCCCTGCCAGGACCCATGGCTGCTGGTGCCGCTTACCTCCCAGCCTCCTAAACACCTGCGTCTTTCAGTCCGGTCAGTGTGGGGGAGGGGCGGGGAGCAAGCTCATAGCGCAAGGTCTGTACTGGGTTAACCCAGTGCCAGCAGCCCACAGGGCAGCCGCGTGGGGAATGGTGCAGGGAAATAGAGACCTGTTGGGGGAGAGGTTCCATCTCCTTCATCCTATACCCCTTGCCCTCAGTAGCTTGGTTCACAGCTCTGTTCAATTTCAGGACACTATTGTCATTGCCCTTGAGGTTAGCACACCCCAGAGCTGTGGTAAAGCGGTGGAGTATGGAGATCCTGGACCTCAACCACCTTCATGAGGGAGGTTTGAATTTTATTTTATTTTATTATTATTTTTTTTTGTACTTAGGACAGGGTATACAAGGTATACAGGGTCTCACTGCATAGATCGGACTCGTAGTGATCCTCCTGTTTACAGTTTCCCAAGGGCTGGGGTTACACATGCTTGCATGCCACCATGCCCAGTCTCAATTGCCCTCTCAGCACGCCCTGGGGATGGGGCCGGCACAGCAGGCCTCGGGATAGAACTCCTGGACCCTGCATCAGCCTAAGCAGGCACTTTAATCCTCTGAGCTGTTTGGCCGGCCCTGAGGTTTTATTTTTTTTATTTTTTTTAAATTTTATTTATTTATTTGTGTGTGTGTGTGTGGCC